CTCCCGCCGAGGGTTCGGATCCCACATACAGACCGGCCGCTCACTGGCTGAGCGAGGTGCGGGAGCAACGCCGAGGGTTGCGATCCCGTAGCCGGTCCCGGTCCGGTACGGGCGCGACACTGAGGGTTGCGATCCGTTGCCGGGCACAAAAAAAGACAAAACGGAAAAAAAAAAAAATTTTTTTTATTTCAATGTTTACTTGTACATTTTCATGGGGTACAGAGTTTTGTTTCAATACGTGCATATACTGCACAATGATTCACTTAGGGTAGACAGCACAGTTTTGTACACATTAGTCCACCACTTCACCTCCCCCTACCCCTTGGCCTCTGGTAACCATTATTTTCTCTACTTCTGTGGGAATGAGAATCACGTTTTTTAGGTTCCACATGAGGGAGATCATGCAGTATAGTCTTCTCTCCCCAAATACAATTTTATATCAAAAATTATACTAAACAATAAAATAAAGGTAAAGAAGCCTGACAAGTTTCTAATTTGCAGCATGATAATTATTTCAAAGCTTTGTTTGAAATATCAAAAAAAAATCTTTGCAATTTTTTTCTCTCATTTTTCTTAGTGTCCCTGTTTTTGTTGGTGTCCTAGAACAGAGGTTCTCAAAGTATGATCTCTGAACCTGCAGCATCAGCATAAGCTTGGAAATTGTTAGAAATGCTAATTCTCAGGCTCCACCCCAAATCTACTGAATCAGAAATTCAGGGGGTAGGGCCTAGCAATCTGTGTTTCAACAAGTCCTTCAAGTGATTCTGAAACACTAAAGTTTGAGAACCATTGCCTCAGACAGATCCTTGGGCAGCCCACTGCACTTTTTCTCAAACTGGCTGTTCATTAGAATCTCCTGGAAAGCTTTATAAAAATACCAGTGCTGGTACTCTATGTATCTAACTCCACAGATTCTAATTTATTGGTCAGGGGTAGGCCATGAAATCAGTACTTTTTAAAAACCTTGCAAGTGATTCTAGTATGTCAACCAGCACTGAGAATCACTAGCAGCCAGCTCTAGTGAGGCTTGATCAATTGGGGGTGGGGCAGGTAAGGAAGGGAGGAGGGCAGCTTGCTTCTTCAGTTTAGGCTGAAGAGGATGAGCAGGAAAATAAAGATAGTTCAGAAGAATGTTTAAGCAGGTTTGAAATAAAATGTATTTAAAAGTAAAATGGTGAAGAGGAAGAATTATGGTCAAACCGTAGTCTTCAGGGAACATTTTGGGCAGTGAGCATTTTAGACTGAATAAAAGAGAAATTTTAGAGAAAAGTGGTGGAAGACAGTCAGAAATAGTACAACTGAGATAAACTAGGCTTAAAAATTCCTTCTGGAACTATATTTGTGCTCTGGAACCCTGTCATACATTTGCATTCTGAGCCTCTAAACTAACATTGTTTACTCCTTAAAAAAAAAAAATCCTGGAAAGGGACACCAAAATGTGTTTGTTTAATTTTGCTATTCTCCACATTGTGTTTTGTTGTACACTACCATAAGATTCATTATGGTCAGGCAAAGTCTGGGTGAAGGCAACATGCTCTCGGAAGGGCGAAAGCTGATTGGATAGTAATTATCTTCATTACACACACAACAGCCAACTGAAGGAAACCAGGAATATCATTTTAGGCTTTTTAAAGAATTACAGGCATAAAAAGAAAATTTGAGAAATGGATTTTTCTGGTAAAAAAATTCATTTTTAAAAAGAACCTGATTTTTAAAATTTATTTCATCATATATTTTTATTTGATATGTTCATATTTTGGATGAGTTGAGGCACTGAAAATAGAAATGAGTTTTGAAATAAATGGTGAAGGAAGGAAATCAAGTAGCCAAGGTGGTGATAGAAAAAAATGCAAAAAATAAGGAAAAAGATATAGTGAAAGGATGGAAGGGGACTGGGAGTGGATCAGTAAAAATGTCTGTTTTGTTGACTGCTATATCTACAGCAACTATAGATACTCAATAAATATAGTGTACTTGTTGACTGAAGGGATGGCCTCCAAGTATACCTTCAGTTTTATGTACCAGGATGCTATAATTATTGGATGATTGATACATTAACACATGAAATTTTAAACATTTTTTTATGAAGCGCTTTCCAACTACACTGTGACAGGTATTATAAACTTTCCTAGACAAGGTGTGGCCCTTTCCTACCAAATATTCCAAAGAAATGGAGATTGAGACAAGAGTAAATCCTCAGAGGAGCTGGCTATTCTGATCCCTTTCACTCCCAGATAAAGTGCTCCATTTCGCTTCCCTCAAAACTAATCCACCATTTATGAATTACTATCCTGTGGGGCCATTTTTGAATGGGGGTTCGATAGTAGGACGATCTGGCCAGCCAATTTTCATCTGAAACCCACTCCCCAGATGTGTCTCCAAGTACCGTATCCTATATAGAGACTCCATTTTTGAATGGGGGTTCGATAGTAGGACGATCTGGCCAGCCAATTTTCATCTGAAACCCATTCCCCAGATGTGTCTCCAAGTACTGTATCCTATACAGAGACTACAGCACAGAAAAATACTTATGGCACATTGAAGTCCATCTTGAATACGTTCTGAATGTCCCAAAGCCCCATGTCTCGCTCACCAAGAATGCCACCCAAACACCCAGATACTAGAGGTGAGCATGTGTCTGAGGGGCACAAAGGAACAGCAAGAAAGGGCTTCTATTTTCTTCAGAGTTTTGGTGGGTTCACCTCAGAGAATAAATCCCTAGGATGAAGTGGAAAGCATCCTACAAGTGAGAGCTCATTTCTTTCATTATTCTCTGGAAAAAGGAACGGTGGAGTGACTACGCTATTCTTTACGATTTTTATTCCAAAAAGAAAAGGGCAGGTTCAAAGTGAGAAACTTCCCTTGTAACATATGGCTTTTGGTTTTATGCTTGTCTCACAATATTTTTAAATAGTGTGTCCTGTTTTTTATTTACTGATCAAGCAAATATTTACAAAGCTCCCCGTACACTGTCTGGTACTGTGGTAGGCTCCAGGGAACAACAGTGAACAAACGCCCTGATCTCAAATGTTTATAACAAAGTGGAGACAGAATCTAATAAACAAATACGTAAAATATGTAACATAGCAGGTGGTTATAAATGCTACGAAGGGTAATAAGGGCAGCATGGGAGATGCGCAGTAACAAGTGCTCAAAACCCAAACTTCAGTGCTATCAAAAAATATTCTACTCCCCACCCCGCCAACCTTTTTGTTTTTATTTTTTTGCCCTTGCAAGCTGTGTGCTGAAACAACTGGTGCCTTCCGAAGCCCCTTTCTTAGGTTGTGTCCTCCCACCTTCTCTGACCAGGCACTTTCACTGGCTACTCATAAAAATCATAATATTATGAGACTCCAAAATAACTCTAACCCCTCAGAGCCCTACCCGCCGTCCCCCTCTCCCCTCAGCGCCCTCAGGCCGGCGTGCCCGTGGGGGTCTGTGGGGGCACCAGGGGGGACTCAGCAGAACACCCCACGCTTTCGGTCTGAGGGCTGCGTACCCCACCGCCTTCTCACTTAATGACTTCTGAGAGAAGAAAAGAAATCATGTTGTAAGGACCCACGGAGAACTTGGATTCATACCAAATTTGAGGGTAGCATAAAATTTAATCAAACCTAAGGAATAAAGCACTAAAGGAGTCGGAGTAAGTGAGGGCAGATGGGAGCTTTCTACTACAGCCGCACGAACGTGGATGAAACCGTAGTGACGACCAGTACAGATTTTCCTTCCTTTATCTGGAGCGGGGACATCGCCAGCGGTTCCCGCGCTCCCCGTGGAAGGCGGGCCGCGGCCATTCAGGGGCGGCCCTTTCGTCACAGCTCACTTTCCGCAGACAAAGCCGCCTTGTGCGTCCCTCTGCTGCTCCCCAATAACCACGTTCGGTCCGGCAGAAGAAAGCCAAAGCTTCTGCTGCCCGTCAGGCGGCCAGACGATAGCGGCGGCCTGGCGGTGCAACGCCGTCATCTTTGTTTCCCTCCGCCCTCACAACGAAGTCTGCAGAAACTCTCCTCGCTTGTGCCTTTCGAGCGGGAAGGAGCGTTGGCGGCCACCTCCGCTGCAAGGAGGCGGCGTGCTGAGCGCCTCGCCGTCTTCTCTCGAGCGAGCGGAGGCGGCAGCCGAGGGGCGGCCTTGAGCGCCCGCTGTCTCGCGACGCCTCGCCCCCTCGGGACTCCGCGGCCTGGCCGGGAAGTAGCGCCGTCCGCGTGCGGAGGGAAACGCCTGAGGCGGCGCGGAGGGGAACTACCGGCGTGGAGGGAAACTACCGGCGTGGTGAGGCAAGGCTAACGCTCGGTTATAGCCATGCGGTGACGCGCCCACAGAAGCGCTGTGGAGACTCCTGTCTTCCTGCGTCGGGTCCCCATTCGGTGGCGGCCTCGGAAGACGGCTGCGATCCCGTCTCTGCACTTGCGACTAGCCGCTGCGAGCGTCTCAGCTGAAGCGGGCAGCCCCGGAGGCCGGCTGCACGGCTGGGGCGCCTGGGGGGGCAGCGGCTCCGGCCTCGCGTGCGCCTCAGCCTCGCGCCCGCCGAGCCCTCAGCCCGGGCCTGGGTTTGGAGTGTGCGACGCGCCGTTTCCGGGGCTGCATGTCTGCCCGAGCCCGTACCTCGCTACATCGCCAGGCTCCATCTGTCCCCTCAAGCTTGACAACAGGTGCCAACAGGTCGACCGACTGGCAGGAGTCTGCCGGGTGCTCCCGCCTAAACTGAAACGCTGGGCGCGCCGAGTCTCAGTTTCCTCTACTGTGAAACAGGATGGTTGTGAGGCTTCGAAGTAAAATGATGCAGGTAAAATTGCCTAACAGGGTACGAGTCCAGTAAGTTCTCCATCGTGTAGTAAGTATTAACACCGTGTTAATTCACGCAACAACATGCATGGATCTGAAAAACATTATGCTGCGGGGGTGGGGGACACAAAAGACCGTGGTCTGTCTGATGCCATTTATATGAAATTCTAGAAGAGGCAGCTGTGATGATAGCAGTTGCCTGGGGAGGGACTGAAACAGGGACAGAACAGAATGCAAAGGAGCGGGAGGGAACTTTTGGTGGGTGAGGGAACAATTCTATATCTTGAGAGGAGTGGTGGTTCCATGACATATACAGCTGTCAAAATCCATGGACTGTAGCCTCTAGATGGGTAGAGTTTATTATAAATAAATTATAAGAAAAATAATTTCCTCAAAGAGTTGGGGAAGAGAGTTAAAGATGGTAGTGGGTAGGAGTAGTGGAGGAATAAGGGATAGGTTGGTGGAAAACAAGTACAACTTACAAAATCTGAGAGCTAAATCCGTGCTCTCTCTGAATCAAGTGGCTTATTCTGGTCCTCTAAGAACCAGTGAACACCAGCACTAGGGATAGCTCATGTCCAAGAAGGATATACTGTACCAGACTCAGTTTACTCATCTCTCCAGATTTGCTTAACACATCAGCTACTTCCACCCCTGCCTTAGCCTCTTGCTCATTGTTGGAGGCCGGGGCTGCCCTGCTGTGGCTTCCCCTCTTGGTAGCCTCCCCATGGGTAAGGGTCAGGCTTCAACACTGCCTCCCTGACACACGCTGTGATGGTGGGATGCTTTGGCTGCTCCGACCCGCCCAAGGCTCAGGTGAGAAACTAAAGTACAGAATGCTCTTGCTTCCCTGGCAATTGCCTGGAGGGGTCAGGTGCTGCACCCAGAGGAGTGGGAGAGTTAGAGCTTCATGAGCAAACTTTCACCAAAGGGGACAGAAAGCAAGAAGTAGCCAGCATATAAACTCCTCTCCCTCCCATCTAGACAGTCTCAAAGTGTGGTTCTGCATGGCTTGTCTGGAAGCTATCCTTTGGGATTGAGCAGTCAGCTATATTTTCTTGTGAAGTTGTTTTCAGCTCAGTGAAGTTGTCTCAACACCACTTTGTATTTCCCCTCAACCTTGATGCCCCGGGATTGTGCCTCCTAATAAAGTCTTAGCACTTAATCTTGGCCTCAGTCTCTGCTTTCTAGGGAATTCTTTAGCAGCTTCTGGGTTTTATGTCTGTGCTTCCCTGAAAATTTCATAACCACAGTAACGGACAAAATTAGAATTTTTTTCTTTTCCTGTTTTGGCTCCAGCTTACTGTCCCACTAAAGTTCTATTTTAAAAGGCAGCCAGTTGAAACCAGTGCTGGATGCATAAACTTTTATAGATGTGTCCCTATTTAAAGTTGATGGAGATAAAAGTTTGGGCTTCCATTTATTGGTTCCTAGTGGTGGTTCCTCTCAAGTAAATTCCTAGAGTATAGGCTCTTACATGTTTTAAACATTTGGAAGTTTGGAAAACTTGAGATGCATGTGGGTGCAAAACAGAAGACACTTTGGATCGTGATCATAAAGCTGTTAGTCTGGGGTTCTAGTTACATGTTTTAGGTTCATTCACAAAACCATGTTCTGTCTTTCCTAAAATCATCAGAGGCAGATATGTTAAAGCCTTTTAAGTGACTTCTGGTTCACAGTGCTTTGCAAAACAATTTTTATTTGCATTATTTTAAGTATTAAAGACTTCAGTAAGTTTGTGTTTTTAATGATAGCAACCACTGGGTTGCTTGGTGGCGTAGTACTGTTTATCGTTAAAGACTTCAGTAAGTTTGTGTTTTTAATGATAGCAACCACTGGGTTGCTTGGTGGCGTACTGTTTATCTCAGGTTTGTCAGGCCTTTCTCTAGGCTTCCCTCCCACCTGACTTGCCAGCCATCTGTCACTTGATCAACAGTGATTGGAGAAAGGAATGGCCAGGGTTATATGTCAATCAGGACATTTCCACTTTTCTGACCACAAAAGCCTCCCTTTCTTGACAACTTAAAAATGGTTATGTAATCTACAAACACATGAATCTGATGATTTCTGCTACATACCTTGGCAAAGGTCAGACCTGCAAATCTACCTTTCTATTGGCTCAATTTTTTTTTTTTACTAGAGATTTATTTTCATTGCTTATAATTCTGGCCTTTCAGAGCACTTAAAAATTATTTTAAAAAAAATGTTCTGCCTTTATCCACATCATCGTAGTGAATTGGCTTTTGCAGGGAAAACTTTGTCATACTCCCTACCATGGGAACCATTTTTAATCTTTGTATTTGAAAAATGTTTCATCTGAGATTAATTTCAGTTGCAAGCAAAATTGAAGCCAAGCTGTACCCGTGTTTAAACACATTTCACACACAAAAAATTTAAGAATGTCTTGGGTTACAGACATGCAGTATCAGAGGACATCACAATAAACAAATGTGAGAGCTCCTCTTTAAATCCTAGCACTTGATTCTTACCAAATATAAGAGGGAAGATATTGTTGGGTAGTTGTGCAGATTTTTTATTATATAAATAGGCATTGGCCCTTTCAGAATAGGTCATAATAAGCTTGCTGAAATTGTATTGCCATTACTCATTTTTAGAATTCTTTAGAACTTTGCCACAAGAGTCTGAGTCACTTTCTCTTAAAAGACATACATCATCAGTGATAACAAGTCTTCCTCCTCTGAGAGCAGATTTAATTATTTATAAATACTCAAAAGTAATTTGAAACAACAAGCTTAGTATTATTGTTTAGCAGGGAAAATTTGAGCTACAAAGAATAAAAATAAGTGAACTGAGTAATACTTTTTAAAAAATGAAAATAAACTTCAAGAAAAAGAATTAAGGAAAGATTGAAGCAGAAATTAATCAGTTAGAAAACAGTAAAATTATTGTTAATTGCTAATTCCTAAGTTAATTTTTTGGAAATATTTGGAATATTGCTAATTCCTAAGTTAATTTGGAATATTTCTAATTCCCGAGTTAATTCTTTGGAAAAAAGATCAAGAAAATGGAGAAATCTCTGACAAATCTATTTAATACAAAGGAAAAAAAAAAAAAGAGAAAACACAAAATTATGAAGGAGAAAGAGCAGACATGGAAACTTTTTAAAAAATTGTATGAGACTACTGTGTGAAGTTAGCCATTTGCTAATATGTTTTTTCCTGGAAAAACATAAATCACCCATACTGAGTCAAGAAATAGAAAAACTAAGTAGATAAAAGCCAAGAAGGAAATGAAAAAAGGCTTCATGCCTAGAGATTTTATAAGCAAATTCTTGTAAAATTTGAAAGACATATAATTCCTTTTCTAAATTCATAAATATATTAAAATTGAATTCATTTGTTTTTATGAATTAAACAATTATTATAAAACCTATCAAAAATGGTCCAAAATTATACTAAAAAAATATAAGCTCACGTAAGAAACCCAATGCCAGAATTCCCCCCAAAATACCAGCACATTAAATGCAATAAAGTCATTTTTAACATGATTAGGTAGGTTTTATCCTGGAAATGGCAGGATATTTTTATACTAGGAAAATAGTTGATACAACAAATCACGTATTTAGGCCATATAAGGAAAAAACCTTATTTCAACAGGTGATAAAAGTTTAATACCTACTCCTGATTAAAACAACTAAATAATAATAAAACCCTCTTAATATTAAACCAATAGCCAACATTATATCTTTTTAAAAGATTTTAGAAAAGTAATAATGCTAATGGTAAGACTGCCAAACTGTAAGGAAGGAGAGGTGTAAGGTTAATTCCTCAACTCTCAACCTCTCATCACCACTCCTCATTCTTTCTCCCCACAGGTAACATCTATTAACAGTTTCTTACATATACTTAACAGAAAATTTCCATGCACATAAAAGCATATGAATAGCCCCTTTGAGAAGCAAAACAAAACATAACATGGGATCATACTATACATATTGTCCTGCACTTGCTTTTTATATTTTATAAAGAACCTTGGACATCTTCCCACATCAACACATAACAGTTGAGTACAATTAATATGAATGAACTATAATTTTTTGCTCATCTATTGGGGACCATTTGGACTGTTTTCTAGTTTTCAGCAATTACATACACTGTTACACGGAGCATCCTTGAATGTCTTTGCCTATTGGTGCTGGTGTACTTGTAAGATTAATGCCAAGCAATGGAATTGGAGATTGACATTTGGATAGATATTTCCAAATTAATACCAAAAAGACTGGATTAATTTGTTATCCCACTAAAAGTGTATGCAAAAATGTTGATCATTGTTGGACTAGGTGATGGGCACATGAGAGTTTATTATTCAGTCTACTTTTGTGCATATTTTTAAATTTCCACACTTAATGATATGACAGAGGCATTCTCATTAAAATCAGATATAAAGATGCCTGTTGTCACCACTATTATTTAAAGTTATGCTGAAATAATTCCATAAAAAAAGAAATAATAGGTAAAATATTGCAGAGCAGTTGAAAAATTGCCTTTATTTGCAGACAATACTGCTGCCTAGAAAACTTGAGACCTGATTGAAAAGCTGTTATAAAATAACTGTTAGAAATCAAGAACATTTCCAGTGGTCCAGCAATAAATTCTGTTGGGAAATAGAATTTTTAAAAAAATTCTATTTACATACAAATAATGTTGGTAAGAACTGTAGGGAATCCACATTAAAAAAAAATGAAAGCAAAAGGATTTGTATAGAATGAAAAATATGTTATGCTCCTAGATAAATATACCTATTTATTTACATTTTTAACTAAAATTCCAATGAGACATTTTTAGAAGTTGAAAAAATTAATTTTCATGTGGAGGAAAATACAGACTAGCCAGAATACTCTTAAAAAGGAAGAGTAATAACAGGAGATTCACTCTACCAGATGTTAATACATATTATAAAGCCAGAATAATTACAATGATATTGAACTACTGAGAAAAGATTGACACATAGATTAATATTTCAGAACAGATAACCCTGAAAGAAAATTCAATATGCCTATAAATGAAGCATCACTAATGGAGAGGACATGGATTATTCGATAACTGGTACTAGAAAAAGAAGCCAACTATTTGAGAAAAAAAAAATCAGATTAAATTCTCGCATCATACAATATACCGAAATACATCCCATATGGGTTAAAGAGGTAAATTGGGAAATGAAACTGTAAAAGAACTAAAAGAAAATATAAGTGAATATTTAAGTGACTTTTGGATGCAAAGAACTAACCACAAAACAATGAAATAAATTATATATATATTTACCTGCCTAATCATATAGAGCACTTGTATGTCAAAAGTTATAAACTATATTAAATAATTATGGCAAAGTAGAAATATATTTGTCATGAATATCATAAAATGGGAGAGTTAGCAATTATTTGCACCCAGGTCCTTAACAGCACTTTTGAAAGAAGGAATCACAAAACCTTTTGGGCAACAACAGCATCATTATGTCATGGCCATAAACACAGAGGGAAACACTTTGGAGAAGAAAATTCATTTGGGAGAATCACTCACTTATCCCATATTTAGAATGTTAAGTTTTTGTTTATGTTTTGCTTTGTTCCCACCTCGTTTTCTGTGCACTGGAGACAGTTGGATTACAAATGCTTTTTTTGTCAAGTTTCTTTTTCAGAAGCACCACTAGAATATTGTACTTCTTGTGTCCTCTGGAAGAGGTTTAATTGATTGATCTCATTACAACACCAGAGTTAGATACCCTTACCATCCCCTTTTCCAGATAAGGAAAGATGTATTTTTTTGTGGCTTTAAGCAGAAGTAGTCAGCAAACTGGAAAATCAACATAAATTATTCAAAATTTATTTTTTACTTTAGTTATTAAAGATGAAGCCAAGCAAGTGAACACCATTTAGAGAAGTTAAAAGTACCTGCCAATCTCAAAAGATGTTTGCTCAGCCAGGAGTCTCACATCCCGCCCCCATCCTTAGCTGTCACAGACCACACCCGAGGGATATAGCCCAGCTTTCAGCAGTGCCCAAATGAGAACAAGTATTAGAGGCCTCGGGCTGGACAGATATGAGTCTGTGAGGAAATACCCAGACCTCAATGGGAAACACCGTCTGATAACTGCACGTGTGCTAGCTCTTACTGGAGGCTTAAAACTGGGACTGTTCTAAGGTGGTTCTGATCTCATAATATGCATGAGTCATCTCATGTAACCATCAGCAAACAACCAAGGTATTTAGGTACTGTGATAATCCCCACTTTCCACATTATGAAACTGAAGCACAGAAAAATTAAGTAGTAGCTTGCTGAAGTTCACACAGCCAGAAAATGGTAGAAGGTGTATTTGAGCCAGGCAGACAATTGGAGCTGAAGCCCAGACTTCTTGGCCACATAACGCCCATAACTATGTACAAAGCCCTTTCACACACAGGAGTCCATTTGACCCTCACAACCTCTTTGTGAGGTCAGGAAATATTCTCCCCAATTTACACTAAGGTAGTAGGAATCCAGAAATGGATTATTGGAAATAATAATCATTTCTAAAATTGATCTGAAAGAAACTGACAACAGAACATGGATAGATATGTGATAAGGAATGACTGGAGGGAAAACAAGGCTTAAAAAAGTTTGGATCAGAGAAAAAAGTGCCCTGAATTTTAAATAGATTAAACATAAGGAGGAGAAGGGAGCTGGGGAACAGACAAGAGGAATACGGCAGGAATAAAAATCATACCAGTTCCTGAGCCAGCAAGGTCTATAATGATGCTAGATAATAAACAGTGAAAGAAATCATATCCATAGCATTCTCATTATTTTGGAACCAATCTACCTTCCTGAAATATTCCTATTTCATGACACAGTCTAAGAATCCTGTCGTTAATTTATGTCTCTTTATTTACATGGCGTTTGTTAGTTTAGATAACAAGATTAGAAGTGTGTATAACCTCCCAGAATGAAGTTCCCATTTAACAATAGGATTTTCACCTAGTTTTTAAATAAAATCATGATAATGAAGTGTACAAAATACTTTTAGAATTTGCTTTCATAGAAGTAAAACCCTATCAGTTAACTTCTGACCTTGTTGCTTGGTTTTTTTATGCCATTATTTTTTAATTCTGAAATATTGTGAATACAAAGGAACTTCACAAGAAACATGTATGTACCGAGAAACTTATTTTTATAAGATGATTCATGTTAAATGCACTAGAACTCCATCTATTTAAAAAGTAGAAAAATAAGAATCCTTCTGCTATAAGACTGTTACCTATTCATTTATCTGATTTTAAATCTGATTTGATAGATACCAGAAGAGATGCATATATTCTATTCATACTTCAAAATGTTTAGTCCTCTGGAATTAAAAATCGATATGCATCATCAACTACAAGGGAAATTATTTTTCCTACTGTAATAATTTTAGCATTATTCTCAAGTTTTATGCAATGTTAGTATCATAGTGTCATAAGATTTATCATAAGAACATTGCCTCTTTAGTAGAAATGTTTTCATAAATAAATTTTCATTTAAATCCTCTCTCAAAAGTGAGCAAATTCCATGTAACAGCCCTTCCTAACTTCCCTTGCCTGCTCCAAAAACGAATTCTTTCCTTCTATAACTCTTTGTCATCAAAATCCTTCAGTGACCTGTAGCAACCAAACACATTTCCAGTATTTGATCTCAAAAAGTTAAAAGAAAAAATTGGAGGATTGTTCAGAGCGAAATATTTTGGCTATGCCTCAGGGGGGGAAAATAAAAAGCGCTCTTAATCCATGATTGTAACATTATTTTTTTTTTTTTATTGCCAGTGTTGGCATGAATGAAATATAGGATGATTCATCCAATGAGAATTTGAATGCTGGTGGAAGACTGTGCAGAAAATCCAGGTGAGTTGAAGGAGAAAGAGATCAGGGACTTGTGAGGAAAATGCAGTCAGAAAATGAAAAGAGAGGCTCTTATGAATACAGGAAAACAAACATAGCCTGTTTGAACTCTAATATTTAAAGCCTGCTAAAGGCCAGTGACATATGACACCACGATGGGAGAAAAGCCGAGGGTGAAAAGTTTCTACACTGACTATTAAATAGATGTAACTCACTGATGAGTATACCCATGTGCAGTTTTAATTACGCAGACATCTGTTTGGCAAAGGGTAGTACTAAATAGGGATCAAATACACAGATCAAATTACGTGGAGAGGGGAGTAGAGAAGACATTCATGAGTCAGAAAGGAGAGCTATCGGCCAGGGAAAATCAATCCCGGCTTTACATCTCACCAACAGAGAAGCAATTATTTTAGATGCAGGGCTGGTTAGCATCCTAGGTCATGAATTTAATTAAATAACCCTCGAGTGGCAGAAAACAGAACAAACCACTGTATTTAACTGTCAGTAAAACATGCCGCAAATAAATGGTCCAAATTCCTCCTCTTTTCCTTCTCTCTTTCCACATAGATTTGCTGTAGTTTTTCTTAAATTCACAACTCACTTCCCTTTCCTAATTTAGCCTTTCCTTCCCAGTGGCATCTGATAAATTCATTTAAATAGATGGCTTGAACCAGAGGGAGGGTTTATCGCCAAAATTCTCACAATGGGATTCTTGGGAAAATGGGAAAAGGGGGGGGGGGTCAAGGATTAAGTCACCATTTTATTTCCTTCCTTGGGCTTAATAAAAAAGCTAATAGTTCACAGAAATATCCTGGAATCAGAGAAGACTCTATAGCCCTCTTGTTGGCCATTAGTTGGCACCTTAAAAGATAGCTAAGGCAGGAGACAAAAAACAAAGGTTCAAGTTGTTGGAGCATGAACTGCAGGAAATGGCCCTAAGCAGAGAAGAAGGGAAAGAGAACATTCAATTGCTTTTGAAAAGAATAATTAAAAAACAACTTCACTCAGTTTGGCCCCTTGCAGCCCCGCACCCACCTTGCTGAGCTCCAGTCTCTTGCCCAGAGCTGATTCTGGGCAGAAAGTTGATTGTCTTTCTAGCCTTCACCCCATCTCTTTGCTCAGCTCCCCTTCTTCCTTCCCACCACTTTCCTCAGCAACACCGCGATTCTTCCAGAGCCCAACTCAGATCCACAGTTTTCCTCCAAAATGCTTTTCTTCTGTTTGCAAATAAAAACCATCTGGGGAGAAATTAAGTAAAAGTGTAAGTTTACTGGAAGGACACTCAAGTGTCTCAAGGGATCCAAGGAAGAGTTCAACAACTAAGCCTCCCTCTTACAGGAAGAACTGGCCCAAGGCAGGTCCCGGGACTTCAGAGACTGAAATCCATCACTTCCTCCAAAGGGCTGCCATTAATGACTCAGCTACCAACTCCCAATCACTGTAGCTCTGTTTAAATCTAAAATTCTTGGAAGAATCTGATTGGCACTCTCTGTCACACACACACACACCTAACAGTATGTAGTCAAACTCAAGCTGTTGAATAAACTCTGAAAATCATCTACAGTGTGGGTTCATTCATTGTAAACTGGTCCTTTTTGCTACTGTTTTAATGTCCTAAGAAGTACTTCAGGCACTGCTAACCTGAGTTGATGTGGCTGGCAGTACAGTCAGATTCCAGTGCCCAGTGTAAACAGACAAAGTGCCAGCAGCCCTGACAGAGTAGAGCTTGAAAAGAGCTTATTCTTGCTTGGGCAAGCAACACTTTAAAAGTGTCTTGGCCAAAGTCTCCTCAAGGGTTGCCAGCAACCAGGATAGCTTGTGGAACTCTGCAGCCTCATTCATTCATTCAATAATTATCTCTTGATCTCTTACTGAGCACCCAGCAACTATATTAAGTGTGCTGGATACAAAGATCAATAAAGTATGGTTTCTGCCTTCACGGAGCATAAACCTAGGTCTGTCTCATGTGAGCAACAATCTAAGGGCTTCTTAGAATAATTTTTCATATGAATATGAGTTTTTTAAATTCTCATGCCCCCTGGGATGAGAAACCTAAGGATTTTGCCTGAACTGTGAGGCAGTGTCATTGTTAAGGTTAAGATTTCACTCGTATTCATTAGGCCACAGGTGAGAACTGAGATGGCTTCATAATTAACCACCGCCAGTTGTCACTTATTTTTACGATGTGACTTGAAGGGTCTGATGTTGGTGGGTGTGGGTTTACTTTATGAAAAATAGCTGATATTTTCTTCTCCCTCTCAACCAAATAGATAACTGAGCATTAGTTAATTTTTTAAAATTCTAGCTGTTTCTCCTAACCTCAGGTGGGAGCACAGTTTGGGAGATGGTAGCAACTCCCAGAGGAAAGACAGGAACTTCTAATTAGCAGAGGCTGTGAAGCAACAGAGAGTCTATCCAGGGTTTTATGTGCAAAGGGTCTGGAACTTTGGTTTGGGTTTGATCTGAGAAAATTTGATGTTCTGGTGTGGTTGGATTCCAATTTGAAGTAGTTACCTAAGTGTTCTTGATTTTTTTTTTTTTTTTTTGGTTCAACTTAAGGTGTTAATTTTAAGATTTGGCAAATTATTAAGACTCATTCTGGTTGTGAGTGAGGATTTAATTCAGTTCATATCTATGGTAAGGATATAAAAAGTGTGACTGAAAAATCGCAGCAGCTGGAGGACAAGTGCATTGCTCTTGACCCTGAAGAGGAGATACGGGTGGAGCACTAAAGTATTTATTATGGTTCATCCCTTGTGCTGCTCAGATCTCCTTGCTTCTTACAGTAAGTTCACCCACCTAGTAACCAGAAATTCCAGGGTTCTTGTTTGCCTTTATTACTAGGGAAACTTACAAGGTTGGTGGGAAAACTATCATCGCAGCAGCTGCAATAGATCTCAAGGCTGAAGTAACTGATATTTCATCCCTCTTATCTACCACTTTCCTCCCCGCTCCTTCCCCCACACCCCCATACTAGTGTCACCTCAGCCTCAGCTAGCAGCCATGCTGGTCTAGGCAGATTGCCTGGTGGGGTAACCCAGACCCTCATCTCATCCAAGAGTCTTAGTCCCTGGTCACCGTGCATACCCCAGACATGGCTTCTGTTTTTGTCTGTGTACTGTTAAAACTAGGCATGGAAGCATCAAGAGACACCTCATTTGATCATCTGTGTGCCAAACGTTCTTCCCTCCCTGCATTCTGTAACAGCCGTACCTCCTCCTGATGATCAAAATCAACGATCTTTGCTAGTATAGTGGCTCCTTTCCTGTGGTCTCCTGGCATGAAGAGACTGAAGTGACTGACTGGCAGCTGTTGTGTAAAGTATAATGGGACTCTATCTACTGATGAAGTATCACCCCTCTGGGAAGCAAGACCTCTTGACCCATAGAATCTAAAATTTAGGTGACAGGAAGCACAAATTCCCCAGATGTACCAATGGGAATATGAGTAAGCAGGGTCATGCCTACTCCCCGCCATAGTTCCTGGACCCATGTATTCTACCTATTGGGGACATAGCAGCATGTAACGGTCGTTGATTTCAGGTGGCATCTCAACATTGTAGGGTATCATCTCCAACGTGGAGCCTCAGCTGTGTCTTTAAGAGGCCATTCCACCATTCTATCATGTCAATGACTTAGGAATGGTGCAGTATGTGACAGGACTAGAGGAGTCCTCTGGTCCAAGGCAGTGTTACATGGGATCTTATGTCAGTGGATCAAGCATTCTTTTTTCTTTGACAGCTGGCCAGTACAGGGATCTGAACTCTTGATCTTGGTGTTATTACACCGTGCTCTAACCAACTGAACTAACTGGCCAGCCCTGGATCAAGCCTTCTTAAGTCCTTGGGTAGTAGAGCTGGCTGAGGTTCCGTGGATAGGGAAGGCAAACTCATACCCAGGATATATAACAATCCCAGTTAAGATGAGTTCCTGCCCCTTCCAGGGTGGAAATCCACTGAAGTCAATTTACCTTCAAATGGTTGGTTAACGTCTCCTTGAGGCTGGTGCTATATTGGCAAGTCAGTGCTGGTCTTTGTTATTGACAGTTAGACATCTGGTAGCAGAAGTAGCTGGATCAGCCTTGGTGAATGGAAGCCCTGTTGGGCCTATCCATAGCCACCATTCCTGCCACCATGGCTATTCCATTCATGTTCCCATTGTGCCAGCACTGTAGTAGCTAGTGAGAGACAGGCTGATATACATGGCTGAGTCATGTTATTTAGTGCCTTTTTGGTAGTGGTTGCTTTGATGGGTGGTAACATGTGACGCAGAGTTCTTCACGCTTTGTATCCATACCAACCTTTCTCCTTCTAAGCCACTTCCACTCCATTCACCATTGTCCATAAGCCTGTTTCTTATCTTGAGACACTCTTCTTTCCACACAAAGTAGATGACCAGGTGCATCACCAGGAATTTTGCCTATTGGGAAGATTTCCCCTCATCACTCTCTTTCAAGTTTACACTAGGTAGAATTGTAATATAGCAGCATCCATTTTTGGCTTGCACTTTTCTGATGAGCCAACCCATCTGTTAATGAAGGTTGACCTTTTTCTTCCTTCATCAGTTAGCCATAAGGGACACCCCCCCATGCAGGCATATTTGTGAGCTGAGATAGTTGTAAACACCAATGCAGTAGTAATGGATGACATGCAGATCTGGGCCACCAACCAGTAGTAGTGGATGACATGCAGATCTGGGCCACCAATTGGTACAACTTACTTGTGTCTTCTGGCCCTGCTCATGCCCGGTCCTGTATCTGCCACTTCCATTTTATGATGGATTTCTTCTGGGTCAACCCAACTTTATGACTTGGTGGATCAGACAGAACCAGCTCATGAGGATATCTCTGGCTGCATAGTTACTTGATGTCCTGTGGTCAGATGCTCCATCTCAATCAGGGCCCAGTAGTCTGCAAGAACTTCTTTTTGAATGCTATGTAGTTTTTTACTACAGATGACATGGCCTTGCTCCGGAATCCCAGGAGACTATGCTGCGATTCTTCTACTGGGATTACCAATAACTCTCCCTGGCATCCACAGATCCCTCTAATACCATAAGATCTGCTGAGGAATATGTCAGGGCTTCTTGCAATAGTGTCTAGACCTACTGCAGAACTCTGTCACTGGTAAAAGGATTGGGACAATGTTCTGAAGTGCTGGGGAAATAACTGAATACATTTGCTGAAGTGTTTAAGACTTTGTCCTCATAGGGACCAGCCTCTTCTTCAAATAATGGGTTCCAGATCTGAGAATTGACTCAGGTCTGAAAACCAGGCTAGTGAATGACTATCTACTAGGGCAGCTGCCCTCAGCCTCCTGACCATTCATTCTTGATTTATTTCTTATAAATTGATACCCTTGTTGACTTATAAATTGATACCCTTATTGACTGCCCATTAATCTTGCCTCTAGAACACTGAATTCTATTAACCATCTTCATAGCTCTCTGTAGATTGGGTCCCTAAATGCCACATCAGTTTTGCCACTCTTTGAATTAATTGCACACACCTTGCTTATTGGCAGTTAAGTACTGCCACCTGGCCTCTATTATTTCAGGTTCCTATCATCCTTATTTCTATTAAGGAGCCCAGTTCTGTTACCATGTCTCCTCCATTCTGGTCAACCGTGGCCTACAGAAGAGAACCTCCACTGAGATTCTCAGTGATTGTTACCCTCTTAACAATGCATTCCTTACCACTTTGGTAAATGGTGTATCCTCTGGGGTTTCCTCAGAACACAGTCAGCTGGTGGGTCTTCCATCTCCACATAGGATATGCACTCTAGCACAACCACCTCTCCGAGCCATTCCATACCATCTTCCAGTCTGCCATGGGAGTTGTGTGTGTGGCATTTTCACTTTACTTACCGTGGGCTGTTGCTTTCTCCAAGCTTCCAAGAGCCATCCTAGTACCTGGGGTTCTTGCCAGGGTGAAAGATAAATCCTGTATCCTGGGAGAACGCTCCCTTTATCAATAAGGTTTCTCTTATCCAACTTTACTCAGTCTCCTCCATGATTGTACTACTAGGTATGAAAACAAGCCAAATTTTTCCTTTTGTGTACAAAAGGGTACTATAATCATCCCTTCAATAAAGACTATCTGGCTGGAAGAGAGGGTCACCTATTATATCCAAGCCTACATTCTGAGATGAAGATGGGTGAATGGAGCCCAACAGAATTCTTGCCAGAGATCTGCCATCTTGCAATACTGATATTAGTATACTATTTTTGATCCAATTTTAAAAGACAAGATGAAAAGTCTATATGGGTTATTCTAAAACATGCTTTGCTTTTACATACATAAAATATGTCCCCTAATTTGGTCTTACATCCAGTGTTTATAAATGCAAGAGAAATGGCTTTATTACCTCTGCTCACTTAAATTTCGCTTTTATTATCGAACATACTCTTCTATGGGGAAAGTGGGAAGTGAGGAAAGAAGTGGGCACAAGTGTTTCCAGGCTTTATAATAAAATGCTGATTCTTTTTATTGAGATCAACTTTAACTCTGATTTTTTTTTTAATGAATTTCTTCATACACTAGTATTGTTTATCTGGAATTTTATTCCAAACACCATTTACAAAAGTGAAAAGAAAAGTAGCAAATATAATTTATTGAGCACATAGGCACACAGTTGTGCAGGTTGCGTACTACACAAGGGCACCAGCACTTCTGAGGGGGCATAGTTCACATATGAGACATCACAGATTTGCATATTTATGAAGAGAATTTTCCAGCAGATGGCAGTAAAGTGTCTTGCTGTAACAAAATAAGACTATTACAATAATTTCTGCCAGATGGAAATAAAGTGTCTTGAGGACTGGGCAACTTTTTCTATTTATACAAAGATATCACATAGACTAATTGTGGCACTGCTTACTATGTGCCTAGTCCTGTGCTCACTCACCCTCATTTAATCCTCAGGATCCTATGAAATTGGTGCTATTAGTAATTTGCCCAAGGCCACTGACTCAGGGTGTATAACAGTTTTGGGATTCTAATGTAGGTCTCTTTAACTCTAGACTCTGTACTCTTCCACACTACACTATGATATTTCAGAAAACTAAGACCTAGGGACTTGAAGAGACTTGACCGTGGTCATAGGCTAACCAGGCCTAAGTCATTCATTAGCAACCCTGACTCTCAGCCCAACCTGCACTAGTTCTATTATGTGCTTACCACAGTGCTGGGTGACACTGGGGACTGGAGAGAACAAGGCACATCTCACTCATTTAAGAAAAAGGCTTGGAAGGAATTTTCTTCATAGCTCTCTGTGGATTGGGTTCCTGGATGCCACATCAGTCTGGCCACTCTTTGTATTAATTGTACACACCTTGCTTGTGACAGTTAAGTACTGCCACCTGGCCTCTCTTATTTCAGGTACCTATCATCCTTATTTCTATTAAGGAGCCCAGTTCTGTAATGATGTCTCCTCCACTCCAGTCAGTGAAGAAAAAAAATGGGAAGTGAAGAAAAAAAAAAATGGGTTAGTGAAGAAAAACATGGAAAAATGATGACATTCTCTTAGGTACTCTAATTACATTTATTTGATTTAAACTATACATGCTACAGAAATATGAAAAGAAGAGAACTCTATCTAGGTTACAATAGTTCTCAAAGAGTTGGACTTTAAATAAATACTTTAAATAAACATTTATCATCCATAATTTATAAATTTAATATTTTAGTATAATTTTAGCAAGAGTACATTACCATAAGTTCTATATACATGGGAAAAATTAGAGGCTTTTTTTAATGTATAAATATCTATACCAAACCACACTGAAATAATGATATATTAGTATAATTTTTTTTTTCTGGCATCTGGCCATATGGAGATCTGAACCCTTAGAACACCGAGCTTTAACCAACTGAACTGGCCAGCCAGCCCTTGGTATAATATTCTTGATTCAGCACTCAGTTTAAAATATACTATAAAAAGTATATCAATCATGAATAAAAAGAGCCCATTTATAAATAATTTATACTGATCCCTAATTTACTGAAGAAATACTTTTCCCTAAACCCACTAACATAAACACATAAAAAAAATGAAAACTCCATCTTCTGTGAAACAAGCAAACTGCTGTAACTTTTGCTTTTTATTTAAAAATAACATGTATAGCATGAATATATTTTTCCAAAATTTGTGCTAGCTGTATAAAGGCTTAGAGAGCTATTTGGAATTATGTTAAATTGTTAATGACAATTCTTTTCTGGGTTGAGAGAGCTGGAATAATGTTTTTATTTTTCCTTTATCCACTCATATATTGCCTAAATTGTTTAAAAGATTACTTATTGATTTTTACAAAAATAATAAAAAAATTCTTTTAAGCAATATCACTGAATATGTGTCTAATTTTATGGCCTATCAAGACCTCTCAAAAACAACTATTCATATTACCAGAAAAATAAGTACATGGATGAATCAACAGTCTCTAAACCAACTTGGTAAATGCAATACTTGTAGTAAAGACTGTCGTTTGATCCTTTCAATCTCTGAAAGAAGCAGAATAGCTACAAATCAATATTTTCTAAACAGTGAATTTTGTGGCAGAATAAGCCACAGTGCACATAAGCCTCAGCATTTGCTAGCACCTATCTTAATCGACGGTTGGCTATTTGAAAACACAACAGAAAAATTCTTCATTCTTTCAAGGTTAGTTTCTAAACTTGACATCTTAGATTGGAGATGGCCTCACCCAGGAATTTAAGTTCAGGGTCTATGTTAAGCAGGACCTCAAATCAAGTTTAGAAACAAGCAAATCTTTCATCCGTTCTTTAAGGGAAAGGTTTTCAAGGTTAGTTTCTAAACTTGACATCTTAGATTGGAGATGGCCTCACCCAGGAATTTAAGGTCAGGGTCTATGTTAAGCAGGACCTCAAATCAAGTTTAGAAACAAGCAAATCTTTCATCCGTTCTTTAAGGGAAAGGTTGTTCTTTGAGAGGAAAGAGTTAGAAAAACAGGTCAACGTCCTATAAATATGAGGTTGTCATTTGCTTTTACATTCTAAATTAAATATGTCTGTTTTGTGTGCAGTGTCTTGTGCCTATTCCACTTCCTGTGTCTAAGCAAATGTGATTATATTAGAAAACTCCATGAGGGCAGGAAAAGTGTTTTTCCTTTATCATAAATCATCTGGCTTAAACTCCACTATCTAAGAGTGTGAGGCCTGGAGGATACTGCACAATTGCTGGTCAGAATGTATAATCTGTCATTAATATGATTTCCCATAAATCACGTCAGATTTTATATAATGGAATAGTTTACAAAATTGTTACATGCATCCTTGCAGGTTATTTTCATAAGCATCTTATGAGTAAGCTGAGCAAGTATTAACACCCTCACTACCTAACAGAGTAGTGACTAGAACCCAGGTTTCCAGCATCTCTTTCCTGGCACCACTGATTTCACCTCTTTCCATGACAGTTGAACCGACCAAATCTATAATAAGGGTCAACCAATTCTGAAATCCTAAAAATTATTGTTCATATAAGTTAAGTAAGAGATCCTAATGATAGTTGAATTTTAAATAAATTGCCTAGTTTGGGGCACAGAGAATTAGAATTGAAAATAGGGGTGATAATATCAGAGAATATCATCAATGAGACACTATTTTTGCTGTAGCACAAATGGAAAAGATTTTATTTTTTTTAAATCTCACAACAAACTTTTCAAGAGTAAAGAAAGCTTCATTTTGCTTAAAATGTTTTATGTCAAGAAACATTTCATAGCATAAATATTCCAAAATGCTTATGATCAAATTATAACATCCACCTGAACACTCTTAAATATTTGATTACTTTCTTACCTTAGTACTATTTGATAAGTATGAAATGATGTGTGAAGTAAAAAACATCATTCAAGTATAAAATACACTGGCAAAAATACATGATAGGAAATTCATCATTCCAATAGTCTAAATGAAGAAAGATGAAAACTACTTTTATTTTCTCAGATTGTTAAAGAGTTCATAAGACAAGCTGGGCAGTCAGGAGGAAGAGAAGAGAAAGCCACAAAAATGGGAATAAAAATTACATTTTCCTATGCAATGAGTCAAAGAAATTGCTACAAGGAAACAAAATCGGCCCAAGTAAGTATTAAAAAATGAAATCACTAGCAATACTAGCCTGACACAGGGCAAAAAGAAATGGGGCAATTCAGGGTATGATGAAGTTTTGAAAGACACAACAAAGTTATACACTGTTGAGAAATGATGATGACAGAGAGGAATCCAGAAATTACCAAAAATAAATGGGTAGGATCCTTGAGGGGAGAAAAGAAAGAGTCCAAGAAAGAAACCCGAAAGGAGCCGGACTAGAAACATTGTGGCCTAGGGGCTCTTTGGGCTATTCACCTCCTCTTCAGGCCTCCAGGAGAGATTACCATGAGTAATATCCCCCGTTAGATCAAAAGACATACACATACCAACTAACCAAGACTCTTAAATTCAATCACATATTCCCCAGTCAGAAACACACTAGATACGAAAAATGAAAGGGACAAGTCTAATGCTGTTTTTATTTAAAATTTTATTGAAACCTCCTTTGATTCCTTTACAGCTTCCTAAGTGAAAATGCATGTAAAGTCAGAGCCTGATGGTATTCTCAAATTATTCCTTAAGTTCCTGAAAATGTGACTACTGAAACTTAGGAAAGTGAAGCTAGACAAGGGAATACCGAGGACCGATTTTACATGCCTGCTTTCTTGTTCATTCATGAGCAGAGCTAGACTAAGAAACCTCAATGAGAATGGAAAGCATGTCTGCAGGAGTATAACACTTAATACTGACTTCTACACTCTCCAGCCCCATGAAAGGTAAGGAAAACTTCAGGAAGGGTGAAGAGAAGAGAGCTCTGAAAACTTGTAATAAAGAGAGCCTTCCTAAATTCTTAGGAAAACCTGACAATTTATTCATAGATTCTGTGTGTTAAGGTAATGCATTTAGGTAACCAGCATCAGAGTCTTTCAAGTGTCCTGTATTCCTGGCATCAGTTTCCTCTTCCAACAATTTCCTTTCTATATCCCACTGTGTAATTTGCAAAGCCAGTTTTCCTTGCCTATGCCTATGAGGAATCGGCCAAAATAACTACAAATTTTTGAACACCATCTCTCATCTATATCTAGTTGGATGGGTGTGTATGTGGGGGAGTGGTAAGAGTGTGTGTGGTTTTTAACAACAATAACCAATGCCTAAAAACCCTTTAATGTTTTTTAAAATCTATCTTTAGAGCAAATCATATGCATGCAAATGACCATAAACAGTTCCTCATATTCATGCTACTAGTTTTTAAAGTATTATATTAATTTAGAAAATACTATCTAAAGGTATTTCACATTGAATAAATCTAGAATGTACTTAATTCAAATACTTAGAAAGAGCATTAACAACTGTTGCTCCTAAAATCTCTGCTGTGAATTCGAGTATAAAAATATAATTTTACTTAGTTAGTAAGTGGTTGATAGCTGTCCACCCTCTGCAGAAGTGTATCTGAAAATCCAGGGGAATAATACCTGAAAAAGAAAATTTGCTATTAGATACTTGTGAAAAGGTTCAGAACAGTGAGCACAAAAGATTCAAAATGAAGAGTTTATCTGAAATAATTTTGTGAGTGGAACCTCAACTACACCCTGAATAATTATGCTCCAGTAATGCTTTGTGCATGTGGTGGGAGATGATGAAGGGAGAGAACATCAACTCATAACACTGTGCTAGAGAAGCAGCAAAACATTTAAAGGATATAAACGTAATGGCAAAGGGGATGTTTTCCAAGCAAGAGACTTCACTCCAATGACAATATTTTATTACAAAGACTTCACTTTTATTATATCAAGTGACTGATGTTGCTTGAAGGATCATAGCTAAAAGATTTTTTTCATAAGTTAAACTACGCAGCCTATCATTACTAATCAACTTCTGCATTCTGTTTGCCTCAGACATCACTTTCAGTGTCTGTTAAAACAGATCTGATCTGGGAGTATAACTCACATTGAAGAACTATTTAATAAGTGGTTTATAAATATTCATATCATACAAAACTAGAAAATTAATCATTTTCATTGGTTCTTAGGCATCTATAGTACTATAAATTTATTTTTATAAATTGAACATTTTATAAAAGATTTAGTATAAAAGTATTAAATATATTGATTGATACATTGCAGAGTACTTGATATGCCATGGAAATATTTTACATGCACATAAAAGTATGTCAAATAAAATTTGGCAGGCATTCTAAAATATAATAAATGATTAAAAAATATAAGGAAGTGTAATTTTAAAATTTCCAAAACACTCAAAATAATTAAGCTTCTGAAGGCATTTTCTCCAGATAAAAACCTAATGTTAGGGACTTGCTTTGTCCTTTGTTAGTTATCTTTATCTACGCTTGACTTAAAAACTTTCAAAATAATTAAGCTTCTGAAGGCATTTTCTCCAGATAAAAACCTAATGTTAGGGACTTGCGTTGTCCTTTGTTAGTTATCTTTATCTACGCTTGAGTTAAAAACTCATAATTTATATTACATTAATTTCTTCCACGAATTATTTAGTTAAAGTGTGCAAAACAGAGGTGTATCTTCTCAGTAGTGCACTCATAGGCAGTCATGTTTAAACAGATACATACATAAAAAGCTAACCTTAGGGAATGTTTCTATTCCAAAGGCCTCCTATCTTTGAAAAAATTGTCCTTCAACAGTGGATTTCTTCAAAGTATTCTTACACTGAGGAATTCACAACTGTTTCTCTGGTTTAGTCACAAATTTTAGAGTAGGTCTCACCTTCATAGGCCTTATAAATGTGTCAGATACCAGATAGGTACTTTTTATATAAATGTAAGAGGTAGATTTAAAAAAAAAATCTTTAAAAATTGTGTTAATACAGTAGCCTCTAGCCACATATGCCTACTGAGCACTAGAAATGTAGCTAGTATGTCTCAGGAACTAATTTTTATATTTAATTTAATTAAAACTTAAAAACTGACCTAGATTCAATTACTGGAAAATTTTAGGTGTGTTTGGAACAACTTGTGAGTCTGCTTTTTAACTGTAAATTTTATATAATTTAAAAACAGGTCAAATATTTCCGATAAAATTTAGCATCTGAATTACTGATGAGCTGGAAGTGATAAAATACCCACCAGATTTCAAAACTTAGTATAAAAATTATAAAATAAACTAATTAATAGTATTGATTATAAGTTGAAATTATAATATTTGGATATATTGGGTTAACAAAATATATCATTAAAATTTATTTATCCTGTTTCATTTTACTTTTTTAAGTGTGGCTACCAGAAAATTTGAAATTACGTATGTGGCTCACATATTATTTGTTGGACAGTGTTTCTTTAAAATAAAGGTCCCCAATAAATAAATTAGGATCTACCAATAATTCTTGAGGCTTGAACTGGCTGATTTCCAAGCTAATTGCCATACCTTTCTTCTCAAAGACCTCCAAGACTTAGTCTCCAGGATTCCCACAGGGAAGAAAATTTGCTCAGCACTTAAACTCCCCTCACCTCCATCAGCAGTATACACTTAGCACTATCTAACTTCCCATGAGTTCATACAGACCACTGTGTATTTCAGTATATAGACCCATAAATAAATATATCAAGTTGTCCATTAACTTTCAGAAAGCCCCATTCCAACTAGTCTATCTAATGCTAAGGAATTCAAAAGTAGCTTCTTATCAGGAAGAAGTTTTGAACCCTACATTAGCAACTAATGGCAGTTTAAATCTAACCAGAATAATCTTTATGTATCATTACTTTCTTAGGACTTCCTGAGCTAAGGGAGAAAAAAAATATGGTGGATCGTTCAAAACCCCTTCCTACTTCCCTTCAGAATGAGTTCATACCTGAGGAAGTTCTTCTTTCTTTGACCTATGCAGCCAATGCTGGTCCTTGTCCTGAAAACTTACTGCCTCCTAAGAAAATTAAAACTCCAAAGGTGCGTATAAACATGTAGAGTACTTGGAACATTATTTTCTGGTAATCCAGTTCATTAAGTATTTATTGAGTATATGTTATATATTCCAGATAGTCTTAAAACAATTTTTTTTTTTTTTAAAGATGACCGGTAAGGGGATCTCAACCCTTGGCTTGGTGTTGTCAGCACCACGCTCAGCAAGTGAGCTAACCGGCCATCCCTATATAGGGATCCGAACCCGTGGCCTTGGTGTTATCAGCACCGCACTCTACCGAGTGAGCCACGGGCCGGCCCTGTCATACTCCTTCTGAATGAACCAAAATGAACCTCCAAAAAAGAATGGGAAATTCCCTCCCTCTGGCTGTCAACCACTGCTATCCCAACTTACCTGTGTGCAGCCTTTAAGAATGTAAGTGAAGTAACCTTATACTGGACCCATGTAGGATATTGTTATGATACCAGAAATGTGCTGAATGGCAGACTGTGTGCATGCCCCCCTCCCAAATTAGATGTTTCCCAAAAGCCACTTCCCCTTCCCCAGCTTATGCAGAGATCCAGAGGACAAAGGAGTTCAAAAAACACCTTATGGCTGTGCAGTGGGCCAGGCCTAGAAATTAGGTCTTCTAATGTCTAGTCCGGACTCCTTCCCTCTTATCCCACCTACCTTTATTAGAAAATTTTAAAGATTACTAAAATTGGAAGGAATTATGAAATATTTAGGCTAATAACAGATGAGAGATTATGTCAGTTGGTAATCTATCTTATAAAGAATAATTAGTTCTAAAATAGTTTTCACCAAGTGATTAAGACTTACATAATTACAAAAATAAAACGATTTTGAGATTATATTTGTCTATTTTCATAGAAAGACAATGTTTCGAAGTTTCTATAAAACACCATTTTATAGAACCCAATAGTTTAAAAAATATCAGAAATTCGAAAATGTTAACCAAAATTCTTCATGACAATTTTTTAAATAATAATTCTTTAATGAAATATCAGCCCACCAAGGCAAGAAGTTAAAAATTTACAATGGTATTTTGACAAAGCACTACATTAAATTCTAATGTGATAGAGTTTTCAATTTCCCCTGGTGCTCAGTTAAAATATGCCTAAAAAGTATAGAAAAAAACTTTTATTCAATAAAGTGTCTTACCATTGGTTGATTCTAATAGGTCATTCCATTTTGGGGGCCCTTAGTTTGCTTTTTTTCCCCCTTCATTTCTCTGTAATTTTATTTATATTAGAAAATTGCATTGAAAGTTTTTAAAACATATCAAATAGCATTCTTCCTAAAGGGATATATATTCCATATATAAAAATCAATTATATTTTCATTTCTTGATAAAAGATTGCATATTTACTTCATTTAGTGGTCTCACACATATTTCATATTATACAAATTTTTTGGTATATGTTTGCATATTATATGCCTAGTTATACATGTTATACTACTACAATATATTATATACATTAATATTTTCGAAGCTGACCAATTGAAACTCTTTTGGTCAAGGAGTTCTCATAAACCTCCCAGAAGTGCACAAACTTACAACTCTGGAAAGAATTTATTGGCTGAATATATGTGAATAGAAAACAAATTTTAATTTTAAAATTATTATTGTGCTTTTAAAATCAATGTTACCATACATATGAAAACAATTGATATTAAATAGAAAGAATGAACAGATATGTTATAACATATAAATATGTAACACGAAAGTTTTAAACACTGAAATTTATATTTTCTAATATTAACTGGAGAAAATAAGAATTGAGTATAGGTTTAGAAAAATATAGATAAATATGCCTTTTATTCCACACACTGTGTGGGCATTTTTCAAGATTCAGTTGTTTAAATCATTCTATCTTTTCTTGGTAATTTTGCTTTTATTTATTTTGGGTTTAGTGGTATAGTTCTCCTCTAGGTTTACAAGGAATACGGCTTAGGTTTAATGCTCTGCAAATCAGCTTTATTTTTAAAAATATTATTCTTGAAAATAGCTTCCTGCTACATTACTCTGAGGTACCTGCATATTATAAACAACATTATTTATGTAAATTTTTTTGCATTTAGATAGTAACTTCTTTTGGTTACTCAACATCTCTTTTCTACTTGTAATACAAGGGTACTTCAAAAAGTTTATGAAAAATAGAATTAAAAGATAATATGGATCTTTCCATGAACTTTTTGAAGTACCCTCAGACTCCCATTAATGTAAATGAGCTTAAGGTAGAAAAGTGATGTCCAGGGAACTATGAAAATTAGAATGTAAAAGCCCTTCTAAACCAGGTATTCGCAATTTAAAAACTATTAGTTTATTTTGAACTCTGGATACTCTTTAGTAAAGCATATGTTAAATTAGTACAGAAATGTCTTAAATGACATTCCAGTTTGATTTAGAAATGTTTGTGTCAATCAAAACATTATTTAATTGGGGGAGGGGAAGAAATGAAGAGAGAAGTAAGGGTAAACGTCGGCCTCATGCAGTATTTCAAAGTCCACGTTTTGAAACAGTGGATATAAAATCTAGATTTGAAAACAGAAAAACTACATCATAATATTGAACTTCTCAAAATCTATATTCCGCACCTTACTATTTCCTCTGGATAACAATTGTTAATATTGTTGATGTATTCTTGAAGGAGAGAACCAGGTTCTGCTTTTATCTCTTGAACCTTTTTAAGTCCCCCACTTGTTACAAAAAGTCGTCGAGCTTTGCTATCATGTGGAAGCACCTTGAAAAGTGAAGCACATAAAAATGTCAGCTTTTCTTTACCAGATAGATTATTATTATTGAAAAGCAATAATGTATCTCAGAAAATGTAAAAGAAAATTTATGCCCAAGCTACGTATAACATAAAGAGCCAAAATTTGCTGATGATTGGAAGTGAAATGCACTTTTTACAAGTACATTAACTTTTTATGTTGTGGAGATGGAATAAAGGCAATGAACATGAGCAAAGGCAATGGAGATCTACTCATAAATGTAAAAGGTAAAGCTACACCCACTCAAGGTCTCTCCACTACCTGCAAAATTAAAGGAAAGCTCCCTAACAAGGCACAAAGGGTCCGAGAGCTCCTAAATACCTCTCCAGCCTCCTTACCCCCCAATCTCCATCCTAAATTTTGTTAAAATAACATCAAAGCATGCACACTGTGCCACTTCTTGCCTTTGCCCATGCTATTTCCTTTTCCTAGAATGCCTTTCCACACTCCATGAACCTCTCCCCTTTTGCTTGGTTAACTCTTATACATCTTTTAAGACTCAGCTCAAACGTTACCTCCTTTAAAAAACCTTCTCTGGGACACTCCCATCCCCTTATCCCAGGATGAGTTGAGTACTTTTCCCTTCTCACAGCATTCTGTTAAACCACTATCAGCGTGCTTACCACATAATATTTTAAGTATCTGTTTGTATGTCTGTCACACATAAATGTCATTGAAAGCAGAAACTATACATTCATTCATTTATCCATTCCCCTCATGCCTGGTGCCTAACAGATGCTGAACAAGTGTTTAAAAAATGAATGAATATACTAAGGGATAGGCAGAGGATGGAGGTAGAGGAGATGTTAAACACAGAGAAGAAGAATCAGGAAAGTAAGGAAGCAACAAATCCAAGGCATTATAACTGACTATTCAGATGAATTTGCCACCTCCATTCATTTTTTAAAGAACCTTTTAAATTCACCTTAATCACTTGCATGTTTAATTCCTTAAAAAGAACTTTTTAGTTGTTTTGGGGGGTTTTTTTTGGAGTGTTTAATATGTGCCTGGACAACAGCACATCAAAAAGATTATACACCATGATTAAGTGGGATTTATCCCAGGGATGCAAGGAGGATTCAACATACGCAAATCAATAAATATGATACACCAAATCAACAAAAGCAAAGACAAAAACCATACGATTATCTCAATAGACACAGAAAAAGCATTTGACAAAATTCAATATCCCTTCATGATAAAGACTCTCGACAAATTAGGTATAGAAGGAAAGTATCTCAATGCAATAAAAGCCATATATGGCAAACCCACCACCAACATCATCCTGAATGGGGAAAAGGTGAAACTTTTCCTTTAAGAACAGGAATAAGACAAGGATGCCCACTCTCACCATTCCAATTCAACACAGTATTGGAACTACTAGCCAGAACAATCAGGCAAGAGAAAGAAATAAAGGGCATCAGACTGGAAAAGACAGACAAATTGTCCCTGCCCACAGATGATCCTATCTATAGGAGAAAAAAAAAAAAAAAACCGTACCAGAAAACACTAAGAGCTGATAAACGAACTCAGTAAAGTCCAAGGATACAAAATCAATACACAAAAGTCAGTAGCATTTTTATACACCAGCAATGAATTAACAGAAAAAGAAATCAAGAAAGCAAGCCTATTTACAACAGGTACCAAAAAAATAAAATACCTAGGAATAAATTTAATTGAGGGGGTAAAAGATCCCTACAATGAAAACTGCAAAACACTGTTGAAAGAAACTAAAGAGGACACCAAAAGATGGAAAGACATTCCATGTTTATGGATTAGAAGAATTAATGCTGTGAAAATGTCCATACTACCCAAAGTGACCTACAGGTTCAATGCAATCCCCATCAAAATATCAATGCCATTCTTCACAGAAACAGAAAAAACAATCCTAACATACATATGGAACAACAAAAGACCCCAAATAGCCAAAGCAATCCTAAGCAAATAAGTAAATAAATAAATAAAGCCAGAGGCATTACAATACCTGACTTCAAATTATACTACAAAGGTATAGTAACCAAAGCAGCATGGTACTGGCATAAAAACAGACACTCAGACCAATGGAACAGTATAGAGAACCCGGAAATCAACCTACGTACTTACGGCTAACTGATCTTCAACAAAAGGCACCAAGAACATACATTGGGAAAAGGACAGTCTCTTTAGCAAATTGTGCCAGGAAAACTAGATATGCATGTGTAGAAGAATGAAACTAGACCCATACATCTTGCCATATACCAAAATCAACTCAAAATGGATTAAAGGCATAAATATAAGACTTGAAACTGTAAAACACCTTGAAGAAAACATAGGGAAAACAATTCAGGATGTAGCATTGAACAAAGACACTATGAATAAGACCTCAAAAGCACAGGCAACAAAAGGAAAAATAAACAAATGGGATTATATCGAACTAAAAAGCTTCTGCACCGCAAAGAAACAGTCAACAGAGTGAAAAGACAACCTACAGAATGGAAGAAAATATTTGCAAATTATACATCCAGCGAGGGATTAATATCCAGAATTTACAAGGAACTCAAATAACCTAACAATCCAATTAAAAAATGGGCAAGGGAGCCAAATAGACATTTCTCTAAAGAACACATACAAATGACCAACAAGTATATGAAAAAATGCTCAACATCACTAATCATCAGGGAAATGCAACTCAAAACCACACTGAGGTATCATCTCACCCCAGTCGGACTGGCTATTATCAAAAATAAAATAACAAATCCTGGCATGGATGCAGAGAAAGGGGAACCCTTATACACCGTTGGTGGGACTGTAAATTAGCACAGCACTTATGGAAAACAGCCTGGAGACTTCTCTGACAACTACAGATAGAACTGCCATACAATCCAGCAATCTCACTACTGGGTATATACCCAAAGGAATGGAAATCATCACGTCAAAGGGATACCTGCACTCCCATGTTTATTGCAGCTCTATTTACAATAGCCAAGAGTTGGGAACTGACCTAAATGTCCATCAACGGATGACTAGATAAGGAAAATGTGGTTTATATACACAGTGGAATACTACTCCACCACAAAAAAGAATGAAATTCTGCCATTTGCAGCAGCATGGATAAACTTGGAGAAAATTTCTTAAGTGAAACAAGTGAGGCACAGAAAAAGAAATACCACATGTCCTTGCTTATAAGTGGGAGGAAAGAAAGAGAGAAAAAGAAAAAGGAAGGAAGGAAGGAAGGGAAGACAGAAAAAAAAGGAAGAATTACACTAATACATTGAACTTTCAGAAGGAGAGAACAAAACTGTGGTTAGTAGAGGTGGGAAAGGGGGAGGGGGAGGGGGGCTAGTGAGAAATTAGTTAATGAGCACAAGGAATGATTACGTTTTGCAGTAATCAACATGTTAATTATCCTGATTTGATCATCACACATTGTACACAGGTATTGATATTCAATTCTGTAATGCACAAATATGTATAATCAATTATATTTCAATAAAAAAATATGTTCCTGGGATTGAGCTAAATTTATCATTTAATCTTTACAATGACCCTATTATTATTCCCATTTTACAGGTAACCAAACTAAGGTTTAGAGAAGTCAAGATATTGCTAAAGAATTAGAGCTGGTAAGTGGGAAATCCAGGCACTTTAACTTGAGTCTAAACTCATAGCTGCCATGGTATACCACTTGCACAGATCTCATTTTCAAATAGCCTGAGCACAATTTCACCAGTTGTTGATAGCTTAGGGTCAACATCCTGACCATCAGTGACTGTGGTAAATGCAGTCATTCTCTTTCATCCTTTGCTATTAGTAGTCAGCTCTGCTGGCTATGCCCATTTCTAGCAGCTTGACCTTTCAACCTTACTACCATTTACTATCATTTAATCTGCAATGATATAAGAAATATGACAGCTACATTTGTTTAAATTGTTCATAAAATAAGCCAATATGCTCTGAATGACTGTGTGAGAGCATCTCCAGTAAAGGGCATAGACTTTGTAAAAAATATTCCAGTGGCTCAGAGACCTTTTTCCTTTTCTTTAAGATCTTTGCAGTGTTCCCAGGTGAGCGAGACACTGGGACAATTACTAAAAGTTACTTATCAATATAAATTATCTGTATTATGAGGTTTTCATGTGTTGATATACTATTTACTTCCTGAGAACATTGAAATAGTACAGAGGCTGTGAAAAAATGTGAGGAAGGAGGAAGTGTTTTATTTATATGTGGATTTTATTAACCTATATTACCTTCCCTGTCAATACATATCAGTGAAAGTTAAGCAGTAAAACTCTGACGCCATCTTATAGAAAACATCTTATCAGAAAAAAAACAAGTTAACAAATCATTTTAATTTTCTTCCCTGCCTTACAGGCTAAGAGAGCATTTCTTACCTTACTGAACTGTCCGACCACATGCTTCAGAATATTAGGAGGAGCTTCATACAGAAATGGTTCAAGGGCTGGTAGGTAGGTACATTTTTGTAGAATGTTCTTTATGGCTTTTTTACTCTATTGAAATACAAAGCAAAATGCATACAAAAGTGAATAATCGATAAAAGCTTGACAACAATTCATGTCTCACATTCCTGGAATTTGAAAATAAAATCAATTTCCTGGTCTAACCTGCAGTTGTTTCATTTTTAAAAATATTTGTCAAAAAACTTCTATCTTTGATTGGTTTTATTGTTGAGTACCCTGCCAGCTGGCTTCATGTTAAAACTTAAAATGTACAGCGTATTATCAAGCTCTTAAAATGCCTATGAGAAAATTAAAATTATAAATCATAAGGTTATAGACTGTAAATTAATATGTATTATATTTTATTAGTGTAAAAATTTGTATATATGAAACCATGAAGTAACTAATATATCCTATTTCTTCCAATGAACAAATACAAGACAATAATGTAGTTTATTGTAGAATGTCATTATCAGGTATTTTATATGCTCCAAAAGAATTTCATGGCTTATACATATGCAGTCAGAAATGTCTATCATATGCACTATGCAATGAGCATTTGCAGACATGCTGCTACACCTCATGGGTAGAAATTTTCCCATTCACAGATAGAAGCAAAACAGATAGGATCTACTCAACTGTACAGAAAAGCTCCTCTCAACAATAGGGAGTGTATCAAGCAACTGAATAGATACCACACATATCTATCCCACTCCCCCCACCCCCAGCACTCCCTCATATTTCAAAATGACACCCTGTGGTACTGTCTCCCTGCCACAAGTGTGACTACAGAAGGTCCCTGATGTGACTGTAGCACATCACTGCAGCCTGCTCTAAGGCCATGGCTGGTTATGATTCTGTTTCTTTCTCTTAAAGGCTGTCCCCTTCACTTTGGAAAACTTCACAGCAACTGGGTTTGTCAAGAGCTATTTGCCACTGGGGTTTCACATCTGCTTGTACGTGGTTTTGTGCTTCAGCCCATCCTTACAGCCTTTCCTCTGTTCACCTGTTCTCTCTCTGAGGCCTTAGCCAACCTGGTCTTCTAGGATCATGATCTTGCTAGTGAATGCTTAGCAGTGGTCTTGAAATGTCAAGGAGCATTTTGATTTTGACATTATGAATTTTATAACTGGTAAATGGATTCAGCAAAATCTTTCATCACATTTGTGCTATCAGTAAAGGATCTCTTGAATTTAAGGTTTCCCAGAGACCCAGGCTAAGCAGTCTTGCATAACCTCTTATCTCTTGACACATTTGTCCTCAAACTTTGTTTTATAAATTACATTAAATAAAACAAGGGATGTAAGAAATTCAGCCCGACTCTTTTCCACAAGCAGTATAACGAAAGTTGGAATTAAACTCTCCATTCCCAACATACCTGGTTATAACTTTGTGAACCATCTTAAAGATTGTGATAACCTTAGCAGGCCAACAAATTTAACTTAACCAATGACTGGGTCTGCTAACTGTATAGCAGAGCTCACATCCACTGTAACACACAGACAATCTTACTTTAATCCTAACAGTTCCAAGTTGATGGGGTACTGTCAAGTTATTAAGCAAGAACTCTAGAAAGAAGTCTAATAACACTAGAAATTCACTGAACTTTATTATCCATCATCTGGAAAAAATATACTTAGTTTCTGACTATATTCTTCTAGATAGGAATGTATGTCATGATTACTAATCAGCTATATTATCCATGAAAGAAATGGTTAATTAAGATTTTGTTTACATGTCTATCTATTTCTTTCTTTTCTTTCTTTCTTTCTTTTTTTTTTTTTTGGTAGCTCGCCAGTACAAGGATCTGAACCCTTAACCTTGGCCTTAACCTTGGTGTTATAACATACATGTCTGTTTCTGAGCTTAAGGTTTAACACCTTCATTGAGATATAATCTACATACCATAAATTTACTCATTTTAAGTACACAATTCAATGGTTTTTAGTAAATTTACAGAATTGTGCAACCATCTCCACAATCTAATTTTAGAACATTTTCATTATCCCCCCAAAGAAAACCTCATGCCCATTGTAGTCACTCCCTATTCCCTCCTTCTTACCCTCACCAGCTCTAGGCAACTGCAAAGCTACTTTCTTCTCTATAACATTGACTTTTCTGAATAATTCATATAAATGAAATTACACAATATGTAAAATTTTGTGTCTGACTTCTTACACTAAGTACAATATTTGTAAGGTTCATCCATGTTGTAGCATGTTTCAGTACTTGGTTCCTTTTCATTGTCAAATAGTATTCCATTACATGGATTTACCACATTTGGTTTATCTATTCAACAGTTGATGGACATTTGGGCTGTTTCCACTTTTGAATAGTTATGAATAATACTGCTAGGAAGATTCATATATAAGTTGTTGTGTGGACAAATGCTTTCATTTTTCTTGGGTAGATACCTAGTTGTTGGGTAATGATGGTAAATTTATGTTTAATATTTTGAGAAACTTCGAAATTCTATTTAGATGTGACTGCAACATTTTACATTCCCCCCTAGAAATCAAAGAGGGTTCAAGGTTCTCCACATGGTGGTCAACACTTGTTACTGTCTGTCTTTTTAACTATAGAATTCTTGTGTGTGTGAAGTAATATCTCATTATGTTTTTGATTTGCATTCCCCTAGTGACTAATGATGTTGAACATCTTTTCATGTGCTAATTTGTCATCTGTATATCTTCTTTGGTGAAATTTTTTTGCCCTTTGTTTAATTGCGTTAATTGTTTTCCTATTATTGAGTTGTAAGAGAGCTCTTTATATAGTTCAGGTACAGGTATTTTCTTGAGTATATGAAATATTTTCTCGAAGTTTACGTAGCTTTTCTTTTTGTTTTCTTAATGGTGTCTTTGAAGCATAAAAGCTTTTAATTTTAATGAAATTTAATTTATCAATTTTTTCATTTATCACTTTCCACATTAAATTGTCTTGGTACCTTTGTGAAAAATCAATTGACCATAAAAGTGTTTATTTCAGATTCTCAATTCAATTCCATTGATACATGTCTTTCGGTAAGCAAGTACCATACCATCTTGATTACTGTGGCTTTGTGATATGTTTTGAAATTGGGCAGTGTAAGTCCTTCTTTCTCAATTCAATTCCATTGATACATGTCTTTCGGTAAGCAAGTACCATACCATCTTGATTATTGTGGCTTTGTGATATGTTTTGAAATTGGGCAGTGTAAGTCCTTCTTTAAGATTATTTTGCTAGTCTAGGTCCTTTGCATTTCCACATTAATTTTAGGATCAGCTTTTCAGTTTCTGAAAAAAGAAAACAAAGCCAGCTGAAATTTTAATAGAGATTATGTTGAATACATAGTTTGGAATATTGCCATCTTAACATGTTGAATCTTCCAATCCATGAACATGGAATGTCTCTCCATTTATTCATATCTCCTTTCATTTTTTTAGCAATGTTTTGTAGTCTTCGGTGTACAAGTCTTATATCTTCTTTTGTTAAATTTGTTCCTAAGTATTGTATCCTTTTTGATGCTACTGTGAGTGAAACTATTTTCTTAATTTCATATTTAAGTTGTTCATTACTAGTATATGGAAATACAATTGATTTTTGTATATTGGTTTTATATCTGTGACTTTTTTGAACTCAATTCTAGTATTTGTGTGTGTGTGAGTGTGTGTGTGCATTCCTTAAGATCTACATAAGATCATGTCTTATGTTGGATTTAAGATTTGTTAGCTTTTTAGCAACCAGCCCATGGTTCACTTGGGAGAGTATGTTGCTGATAACACCAAGGCCATGGGTTCAGATCACTATATAGGGATGGCCAGTTAGCTCACTTGGGAGAGCATGGTGCTGCTAACACCAAGTCAAGGGTTAAGATTCCCTTACTGGTCATCTTTAAAAAAAAAAAAAAAAAAAAAAAAAAACAGAAAAGATTTGTTAGCTTTTAGAGGATGTGCCTTAGGTTTGGTTATTTATAGCTGTGAGCAAAATAAAATAATTCTTACAACTTCATACTGTGAATTGTACAGAAAATTTTATGAGGTCAACAAAACCTTTTATTTACCTAATTCAGTAAATCAAGTAATATCTTATTTTGAACTAATGAATAACAGATTTTGAATTTTTCTAATTGTAACTACAGTTAGTATCTAGTGTTTATCCGTAGACACAAAGTATGATGATGTCAGAGGAGTCCTTGGTTATCTCTTGAGGGCATACCGAGGGTCTGAGCCTGGTTTTCCTATGAACTGGCATAGCATCTACAGTTCTAAATTTATTCATTTTTCTGTAATTTCTAAAAACTGACTCTACCCACACTGATTAGGGCTATTATTGTAAAAAACACAGTAAGTGACAACATTATTTTTTACCTCTTAACAATACACTAAGAATAGCAATTAACAAAATAAAATTGTCAATGCTATGCACTTGATTCCACTTTGTTTTTCCCACAAAGTAAGAATAATAACAAAAAAATTACTCCTTGTTGCTTTCCTTAATGGAAACTGCTTAAAGTAAAAAATAATGTTTCTTTTCAGAAAGTTAATTTTGTTCTGAAAGCATTCTGGCCCAAAGAGTTATAGTTATTAAAATGAAGGGGGAACACAGGAGTAAATCTTCATGACTTTTGGTTAGGCAAAGCCTTCTTAGATATGACACCAAAATGAAGTGCAACAACAAGAATAAAAATAGATAAATTGAATTTCATTAAAATTTAAAACTTTTGTGCTGTAACAATACCATTAAGAAAGTAATAAGATAACCCAGAGAATGGGAGAAGATACTTGCCAATCATACTACATCTGATAAGAACTTGTATCCAGAATTTATAAAGAACTCTCACAGCTCAATATAAAAAGATAAATAACCCAATTTTAAAATGGTAAAGGGTCTGAATAGACATTTTTCCAAAGAAGATACAAATGCCCAATAGGCATATGAAAAGAGTTGTAACATTGTTTGCCATTAGGCGAATGCAAATAAAACCACAATGAGAAACCAATTCACACTCACTAGGATGACTATAATAAAAAATAAAGAAAACAACAAGAGTTGGCAAGGATGTAGAAAAATTG